TAATATAATATAATATACTACAATATATAGTATAATAGAATATAATATAATATACTACAATATAGTATAATATAATATAATATAATATAATATAATGTGTATAATGTGTATAATAATATAATTTATAGTATAATAAATATAGTATAATGTATAGTATAGAATAATAGTATACATGTATGTTGTGTATATATATATATATATAGAATACATAATATATAGTATATAGAATATACATAATATATAGTATATAGTATATACATAATATATAGTATATAGAATATATATCGACTGAACAGGGTTGAAAATCATAATAACATCAGACACACCTCACAAATATTCATTGAGTGTCACATATAACTGAGCAAGTGCTGTTAGTTTTGAAACAAAACGCGACAGAAACGGTCTTATCAGTTTCAGTTTGTTAATTACACTGGACAACTTACTTTCTAATTGTAAGATAGAAATCTATACAGTGTGAAAACAGCGAATCGAACGGGTGTATCTGAGAAATAAAAATGAATGAAGCATATTTTACACATGATTTACGCGTGCAACGAATTATGCTTCTGCTTCTTACGATTTATGGAGATGATACAAAACTGTTATCTCGTGAATAATTTTCAAGATTGAAGCTGAACGATCTCAAGTAAGCTGATCTCCTCCTTAATGCTACTAATAACAACATTGTTCGAACGAGTTCTCGTAGCGTAACAACGTGCAACGTGCAATTTCATCCTTCCGAACGAATGAATTGTGATAAAGAACATAATTATATTCGTTCGTCTTCTATTACGTTTCAGTGAATGAAACTATTAAATTCGATGAATTAATAAGTTATTAAATTTCATATTCCACGCGTTCACACTGATTGATCATCAATGAACGTTGCAGTTAGTTAGTATTGCAGGTACACGACAGCCATTAATGCAAGCACGTGTGTGTGATTAATCATGTATGGTATGTAGACATTGGGGATTTCAGCGCGGCACATGAAATATGCATATCAATGAATATTAACGTAAACATTAACATAAATTAACCTTTTGCGTAAGATCAACGTCTAGTTAATTGCTTCGCAACTTCCCGTCCACCGCGTGCGTTCAATTGTATTTTCGTCAAAATTAATTATTTTCCACGGTTTTATCTTATCTGGCCCGAAATCCTTGGTAGATTACACATTCCGCGTGTACGTGTGTGTATCTAAGGCAATAAGATTATCGGGCTCGTGTTGCTCAACTTATATTGCCAGGCATTATAGAGTCGCATTAACATGTAAATTGCACCGCTTAGACGGTGAAAAGTATCCGTCAATGTCATTCCCAAAGATAAATGCCACCCCCCCCCCAACTCCTGTGGAAAAAAAAATAATTGCCAACACTCTTTAAGGAATAAACGAACCGCCGAGCGTCGTCGACTCTTACCAAAAAAGGGAAAGAAGAAGAAGAATAGCAAAAACGGAGCATCGGAGAAACGATCGCTAGCTACGGTATGAAATGAAATTGAGAAACCGTGAATGTCTTATGGCGCGGCAGATTAAAAGACGATTAGAAACGAATTTAGAAACGAAGAAATATTCGACGATGCACACGCGTGGTTTATAAGTGGTGGGTTAAATAGAAAATTTATGAACCTTTCGCAAAACGGAGAATGCCCTTCCTGCATCTCGAAAAACTTCACTTCGCCAGATAATATTGATCCCTGGAATGAGCGACGTTGG